TGACTCACCCTGTATATATAACAGCTTTATAATATTTAAACGTTTAAATAAAATTGCACGGAAGTTACTTAAAAATATGAATAAGTGGAAAAATGTATCTGAATTTATATCTATTCTTAGACTTTGGTATTTTCTTTCTCATCTCAGACTGTAACAGATAGATTCATTAGTGTTATGAAAAATATATTTTAAGAACAATGTCACTTATACATATTATTCATTAAAAATATATCTGCTTCTTCTCTCAGTTGTCTAGTTTTTGCGTAAGTTTTTTTAAACCATGACGATACGTGATCTTGAAAGTTTTTATCCGTGTACAAAGGAAAATGTTTTCTTATTGCACTTATAAATATAATAAAGTTATTTATTATATTTTCATAATTTAAAATAAAAACATTTACCAAAAATAAGATGTTACGCTTTGAGGTTTTTAACTGGTAAGAAAAACGGTAACAAACAAATGAAATAAATAACTTCCCTTTACGCCGTCAGCTGTCACGTCCCTGCGTGACGCACACGAGCACGAAAAACTTTTTTCTGCCCCCATTCGTTTTCGGTCACTTTGTCCACACTGTTCAAACAATAATTCAGTCATTTGTTTAGCTCTAAGTCCCTCGGTTGCCGAGATATCAATTTGTTAATTAAGGTCTTTGCTTAATTCGAAAGCTTGCGCCATGGGAACAACAATTCAGTCATTTGTTTAGCTCTAAGTCCCTCGGTTACCGAGATATCAATTTGTTAATTTAGGACTTTGCTTAATTCGAAAGCTTGCGCCGTGGGAACAATAATTCAGTCATTTGTTTAACTTTAAGTCCCTCGGTTGCCAAGATATTAAATTGTTAATTAACGACTATGTTTAATTCAAAAGCTCTCAACGTGGGAACAACAATTCAGTTATTTGTTAAACTCTAAATCCCTCGGTTGCCGAGATATTAATTTGTTAATTAACAACCTTGTTTAATTCAAAAGCTCACACCTTGGGAAGAACAATTCAGTTATTTGTTTAACTCTAAGCTCCTCGGTTGCCGAGTTATTAATTTGTTAATTAACGACCATGTTTAATTCAAAAACTCACACCGTGGGAACAACAATTTAGTTATTTGTTTAACTCTAAGTCCCTCGCTTGCCGAGATATTAATTTGTTAATTAGCGACTTTGTTTAATTCAAAAGCTCACACCGTGGGAACAACAATTTAGTTATTTGTTTAACTCTAAGTCCCTCGCTTGCCGAGATATTAATTTGTTAATTAGCGACTTTGTTTAATTCAAAAGCTCACACCGTGGGAACAACAATTCAGTCATTTGTTTAACTCTAAGTCCCTCGGTTACCGAAATATCAATTTGTTAATTAACAATTTTGTTTAGTTCGAAAGCTCACACTGTGAAGCAACAATCCAGTCATTTGTTTAACTTTAAATTCACGGTTTCTTGCAATATTTAACTGTAACATTGTTAAAATCCCAAGCACCAAATACCGAAGAGTTGAGGACCGCCATTTTGCTAATTACAAAGTCGTTAATAGAGGAAAAGAAATGTTATGTAAACAAGGGAGCTCCATTACTACATAATTTACTAACATATAAGGACCATTAGTTATTAATTATAATATAGATTAATTAGATATAAGTTATAAATAATTAATCGCACTAGTAATAAGTTATTTAATAAGTTAGCAAACCCCCATTTGTTAACCGCTAATGCCCTGTACTCGCATACCGGGATCAACAAATACCTCACTAAACAATATGTAACTAACAATAACAACGTATTTGTTAATCCCCGGGTCGAGCGCAGCTAACACAACGTAGTTAGCAATTTTTGATAATTTATTTAATCGATTTACTGTAAATAACGAAAACATGTTCCGCAATTCAAATCTCCCGCCTTGAACAAGCCCGGTTAAATATTTTGCTACCGAGGCTTCTTCCAGGTCCGCGCTATCACTGTTCTGGGATGCCTTAGAGCCCTCGCTGCTCAAGTCGTCTTCTTCTTGGTCCGCGCTAAAACTATATATGCCAGCAAGCCGCATCAGTCGGGGCAACTCTGTCTCTGGTTACACTACTGCAATAGAAAAACATATTCCTTGGATATACTACTGCAATAGTCAGCTCAGCACACTGCTCGTATTACTGCATTAGTCGGTTCAGTTCTCTGGCCGTGCTACTGTAGCGAACGATTCAGTTCTGATCATATCACTGTACCAGTGGATTCAGTTTCTGGCTACACTACTGGACTTACGATTTTTGACTCTTCACACGGCTTTCACAAATTTTTGAATATAATATACACGACTCAGACTATCCACGGACACGAACTTAGACTGTCGGCTATACTCTGGGCTACACTATAGGACTTCGAGATCGGCAATATTGTTTACTTACGACGATTTACGGCACCCCGAATTGGGATTTTCCCTGACTACGCTGATTTCGCGAACGATTAAATAAAAGTGTTTTTTGACAATTTTGGTAAAAATTGGTAATGGACAAATAAATATGGTAAATATTGTAATGGACAATTTTGATAACGGCAATTCCGTCTTCTTCTCCTCGGGAGAAGCCGATGAGATCTTGAGGTTTCTCGATCGGGCAAGAAAACCTGTTCCGGACCAGATGCTCGCTGATTGTGTTGCTGAAAAGCACCAATCGGAGCCCCCGGATTCCCAGAACTCGCCGCAACAAGTTGCTACTACCTCTAAGCAACCGACAGCACTCTTACCCGGGGCGGTATTCTGCAGAGAA